AAAAGGAATCGGCGCCCACTGCCAGGCGAACAGGCGGGCGCGCTGCTTCGCGGGAGCCCGATGCTCCGCCTGGCGCACTAACGGGCACAGCCGAGCTTTTCTCGGAGGTGCTTCCTCTCAGTTTCCCGTGGACACGTTGCTCCGACAGTTCACGATACTGCGCCTCACGGCGAGCTTCCCGTTGTTTGAGCGTCTGCGTCGCAACCATTTCCACGTCGCGGGACATGGGGCCCAATCTGGCATTGGCTTCCGGTTCCACCATCTGAGTTCTTAGCGAAGCTCCCCTGGCCTCGGCGATCACACGTGCAGACGAAGCGTTTGATCCCAGAGCGATTTCGCGCTCACGTTGTCGATAGTCATCGACTTCGCCTCGAGCTCTACGCGGCAAAACTAAACTCTCATCCGCGGCGCGCTTAGCCTCTTCGACAGCGGGCCCCTTCCCCGCAGTCGCTTCCTGCATTCCATCGTTGGCCTCCAACACCAATTCCGCACCGCGCGCATCTGCAGCCTCGAGTTCAACGGTCAGCTGATCCACCGCCGCAATTTGGCTTTGACTTGCCACCCGGACAGCAGAATTAGTCCTTCTTTTTCAGCAACAGCCTCAGCAGCAGCTCGGGCTGTCTCTCGGCCGCTTCACGGGCCTCGATTCCGCGTGACATGTCTTCTCTCTCGGCATGAGCCCTTTCGGATCTATCGGCACATGCAAGGCGCAAGCGTTCCTCGAAGTGTTCCAAGGCGCGAGCAGCAGCCTGACGGCCCTCCTCGATTTGTAGCCTGGCCGTCTCCCCCTGCTGAAGTTCTGCGGCCCCGACCTGTTCGCGCATGTGCGCCATTACCCTTTTAACGATCTTCCATCAGGATGGCGCGTCTCTTTTCTTGCATCTCCCCCAACTCTCTGCGACGGAGGGCCATGCAGTTATGCGCGCTGGGGAAATGGCGGCCAGGGCGCAGAAAGCTTCAGTTGCATTCTGGGCAGTTCACTGAGCACGCCGAGCAGACAAGGGCTTGCATTTGCCAGTCTGTGACAGCTGAACAGTGGGACGTCAGCACAGTCGACCCCTCTGTTAAAACATTATTCTAGCATGCGGTCATTCGAGTCGTTCGAGCGAGCCGTGCATGCCGATCGCGATGACGCCCCCGACGTCGTCCGTGGCTCTCGCCACCTCGAAGACGCCCCACGTCGGATCCTCGGCGCACGGGCCCTTAAAACAGAGGCGCTGGTAAGACTTGCCATCACACGTTCCGAATGACTCGTCCCGGTTCCCTCTGGCGATAGGAGCGCCATACGATTTGCGCCTCGCACGACCGACATCTCCAGACCAGCATTGCACGATTCTGGCGGGCTAACCTTTCTCGATCGCCTGATCACTGTCGACCTTGGCAAAGTCATGTCGTCCCGGGGTTGTTTCATCGCCGGCATCCTCGAAGCGTTCCCAGAAAATGGATCATCGTGAGGATCTTCAGTAGCGTCGAGTTCGGAGCTGGAAAAGGTTTCACGTTCCTGACGAAGTTGCTCGACTAAACCGTCGGTTTGACGATCACTTTCCGTCCCGTGCGTCGCGAGATTGGCCTCGAATATGGAGGAAGAAAGATCTGATTCGTCGTCATCCGAAGATACATCGACGAGTGGTATTCGTGCGCCTTTTGTGACGGTCTTCTCCCGGCCGAGGCGAATCCAGCCGAAAGGAATGCTTTCGCTGCTAGACACGGACACAGCAGCGTTGATACCCGCAGTCTGCGATGAGCGCAGGGTCGGACGTGGATGTTTTGGTGCACCAGAAACATCATCATCAATCCTGAAGGGATTGCCTCCTGGCCTCGTGGAAGGCAAACGTGTTTTGGCCTTGATAGGTTGCTCTGCTTGTTGATCTTCTTCTTCGAGGAGCTCACGAGAAGCCAACCTCCCACTACGAACTGGTGAACTACTCTGAACAATGTGTGGTGTATCCGTATGCGCGCGCATATGGCAAGCCCACCCAGCCGGCCGGCGGGAGTGTTAGGGATGACTCAATCATTCCTCCTCCGTCCCTCTTGGATCCGCCAGAAGAGGAGGTTATTAAAAGGGGGGTAGGCCAATCAGCTCCCGTAGCAGATGTGCCCGGCGCTCCCCGGCGCTGGAAGTGCCAATCCATCGAGCAAGGCGCCCCGGGGGGCCGAAACGAGCTGATTGCAGCAGATTTCGTGATTCCTCCTTCCCCTATCCCCCCCCCGGTCTTTCGCCACTCCTCTTGTGGGAGAAGAAACGATTGCAAAAACGTCACCTTCAGAAGTCTCCGCAGATGAAATTTCTCAGATCCGCACCGCATTCCGGACCCTAGCGCGCAGAGCGCGCCAGGCGCGGCACATTCGGACCCCCCTCCTCTCCTTTTCCTCCTCCTCTTCCTCCTCCTCCTCCTCCTCCTCCACACACCCCTCCTCTCCTTTTCTTCCTCCTCTTCCTCCTCCTCCTCCGCCTCCTCCTCCTACTCCCATCTTCATCACCACCACCACCACCACCCACCATCAGCATCATCATCATCATCATCATCATCATCATCATCATCATCATCATCATCATCATCATCATCATCATCATCATCAGCAGCAGCAGCAGCAACAGCAGCAGCATCATCATCATCATCATCATCATCATCATCATCATCATCATCATCATCATCATCATCATCATCATCATCATCAGCATCAGCATCAGCATCATCATCATCATCATCATCATCATCAGCATCAGCATCATCATCATCATCATCATCATCATCATCATCAGCATCATCATCATCATCATCATCATCATCATCATCATCATCATCAGCATCAGCATCATCATCATCATCATCATCATCATCATCAGAATCATCATCATCATCATCAGCATCATCATCATCATCATCATCATCATCATCATCGTCATCAGCATCATCATCATCATCATCCTCATCCTCATCATCAGCATCATCATCATCAGCATCATCATCATCAGCATCATCGTCATCATCATCAGCAGCATCGTCATGATCATCATCATCATCAGCAGCAGCAGCAGTAGCAGCATCATCATCATCATCATCATCATCATCATCATCATCATCATCATTTTCATCCTCATCCTCGTCCTCATCATCATCATCATCATCATCATCATCATCATCATCATCATCCTTATCCTCATCATCAGCATCATCATCAGCATCATCATCATCAGCAGCATCATCAGCATCATCAGCAGCATCATCATCATCGTCATCATCATGATCAAGATCATCGTCATCATCGTGATCATCATCCATCAGGCATCAGCAGCATCATCAGCATTAATGTTTCCCCACGAAACGAGGTATGGAGCCCGATCTATGCCGTCCCATGCAATCAAATGCTTGCAATCCCTCGGCACGCAGCAACATGGTGCCGGACCTAATACAAGGGGACCAAGCGGGTCTGATTAGCCACCCCAGGCACGGGCGTGCACACCTACAGACAGAGATAAACAACAACATAAGCAAAAACAGCAGCCTGGCGGTTTAACACCAAAACGGCCAAGCGCAGCCACGCGGCAAAAACTGGAGCGCGCAGCATCATCAGCATTATATATCAGCAGCATCATCAGCAGCAGCATCAGCGTCATCATCAGCATCAACGTCAGCATCAGCAGCATCATCATCATCATCATCATCATCATCATCATCATCATCATCATCATCAGCATCATCAGCATCATCATGATCATAGTCGTCATCATCAGCAGCATCATTAGCATGGTCATCATCATCATCATCATCATCATCATCAGCAGCAGCATCAGTATCACCATCAATCATCGTCGTTGTTGTCATCGTCGTCATCATCATCACCATCACCATCAAGAGCCTCAGCACCATATCATCATCAGCATCAACATTCGCATCAGCATCAGCATCACCATCATCACCATCATCACCATCATCACCATCATCATAATCATCATCATCATCATCATCATCATCATCATCATCATCATCATCATCATCATCATCATCATCATCATCATCATCATCATCATCATCATCCCTGCTCCCTGTGGGGAAGGTGTCCGAAGCAAGAACGCCCGCGGCAGCCGGGCCCTCGACAGGAACAGCCTGCAGCGGCCACCACGTGCAAAATCACGACAGTACAACGATCTGGTATTCTTTCTGGAGCGCCACAGGGGCCTCGAAACGAAACCTGACGACCCACCAGAGCCCTCTGCGGGGAGGCCCATACAGCTTGCTCCTCCTCCTCATTATTCTCCTCCCCCTTCATGTCTCCCCTCTGGGCAACCAAACGAACACCGATACCGCTGCTACACGGACCTCTCTCGAAGCGCGTCCTGACCAGAATTTCTAGGCGAATATAGCCGTGAAGACGATGGCCTCCCAGGAGGCCCAAAAAGGTGAAAACGATGGAAGGGCAGCAGGATTGGTACCTTCCCTTAAATCCGACATTCCGAGGGGAAACAAAAAAACGGAAAATCACGACCAAAGCCCTAGGACACAATCTCTCTGCTGCTGTTCTCGAGCCCAGTCGATCCTCGAGGGCCCCAGGGCCTGAAATAGGGCGAGAACGCCCAGTGTAAACAAACAAAATGCAACTCTCGGATCTCAGGGGGGTCATTACTTGTCTCATGACTGCTGTAATGGATATTCTGAAGATGTTTCAGCATGGCTCGAGGGGATCCGGGTCCCCTGCTCCTCCGCCTCCTCCTCCCCCTCCTCCTCTCTCCTCCTCCTCCCCCCTCCCCCTCCCTCCTCCTCCTCCTCCCCCCTCCTCCTCCTCCTCCTCCTCCCCTCCTCCCCTCCTCCCCTCCTCCTCCTCCTCCTCCCCTCCTCCGCCTCCTCCTCTCTCCTCTCTCCTCCTGCCCCTCCCCCTCAGGGCGCGCTCCCGCGCGCGCGGGAGCACGCCGCCGACGTCGGCGGCGGCGGCGCGCGGCCCGTGCGCACCGCGGGGCCCGACAGCGGCCGCGGCCGGCCTAAGACGCGGGGGGGCGCGCCCTAGCTCGCGGGCCGCTGCACCTGGTCTAGCGTCGCGTTCGCGGCCACCTGCGGGCACCGGAGGAGCAAGCGGGGGAGGAGGGGGAGGGAGGGAGGGAGGGCAAGCTAGGTGCGCTCGCGTCATATCTGACTCTCTACCCCTCCCTCCCATCCCTTACCATGGCGTACATCTCCTATCTATTCGCACAGTCGGATGTCGTAGCAGGGCATAGCACTAAATGGCATAGCATGGTGTTGAAGATCAATGCGCAGCATGACACAGCATGGCGTGGCGACGCCCCAAAGGGGGGGGCGTCTGCTGCCGAAAGAAAAAACACGAATTGGCACCGAATGTGTAATCACTTCCGATGGTTTTTTCGGGGGGGGGGGGGGGAATTTTCTAGATTTTGGGGCCAATTTGGAAGGACCGAACACCATGCCGTGGCATGGCACTGGAAAGAATGACGCCAGCGCAGCATCGGGAGCACGATTCGGAACGAGCGGAAGCGCGGAAATGAAATGAGGCCAGCGCTGCAGCGGGAGCACGATTCGGAACGAGTGAAGCGCGGAAATGAGGCCAGCGCTGCAGCGGGAGCACGACTCGGAACGATCGGAAGCGAGGAAATGAGGCCAGCGTTGCAGCGGGAACAACATTTGTAAAAAAAAACTGCGAAAACCCACTTCCCGGGAATCCTGTGAAAAAAACCATACACGGAGGGGGGCCGGATATCTCCCGGACGTTATCGGGGGAGAGAGGAGAGTAGCATTCATATTGTGAAATTGTGGAACGGGGAGGGAGGGAAGGAGGGAGGGAGGGAGGGAGGGGAGAAGGGGGAGGAGGGGAGAGGAAGCTTGTTTGTTTCGGACCCGGCGCACGAACAGGTCGGTCGACAGCAGGATAAGGAGGAGGCGGAGGAGGGAATAAGGAGGAGGCGGAGGAAGAGGAGGAGGAGGCGGAGGAAGAGGAGGGGGCAGGGAACGACGAGGAAGGGCTCGGCTCCCCAAGTGTGGCCCGCGCTGGAGCGGGAGCGCCATTCTGAACGACGGGAGCAAGGCGCCAATCATGCAATGACGCTACCGCTGCACACCGAAAACGCTCCGATGTAGTACTACAGACTTAATATGGAGAGGGTGCGACACTTCCAGGACGTAGTCATAGGAGAGAAGGAAATAGACATCATACCGTGCAAGTCTTGTGAAGGAGGAAGAGGAGGAGGAGAAGACGGAGCAGTTGTGGACGACGACGACGACGACGACGACGACGACGACGACGACGACGACGACGACGATAACGACGACGACGACGACGACGACGACGACGACAACGACGACGACGAGCAGCAGCAGCACCACCACCAGCAGCGCCGCGGTCGCGACCACGGCGCGGCGCTGCACGCGCGAGGAGGCGGCCGCTAGGCCGAGCGGCGCCGCCTGCGCCTCCGCCTCCTCCTCCTTCTCCTCCATCGCTACCTCCTCCTCCTTCTCCTCCTCCTCCTCCTCCTCCTCCTCCTCCTCCTCCTCCTCCTCCTCCTCCGCCTCCCTGCTCCCTCCTCGTCCTCCACCCCCGCCTCCTCCCCCTCCCCGCCGCCTCCTCCGCCGCCTTTTCCTCCTCCTCCTCCTCCTCCTCCTCCTCCTCCTCCTCCTCCTTCTCGTCCTCCTCCTCCTCCTGCTCCTCCTCCTCCGCCTCCTCCTCCTCCTCCTCTTCGCCCACCCTCCCCCCGCCGGCGGCGGCGCGACCATCGCGTCCCGCAGCTGCACGTGCGCCGCGATCAGCGCCGTGGGCGCGGCCAGCAGCGCGGCCCCGAGCGAGGCCTGCGGCCGCCGCCGCGCGCAGCTGGAGGCCAGCGCCGTCGGCGCCGTCACCATTGACGGCGTCCCCTAAGATCGCGAGAAGCAACCACTGCAGCCCTGGACCCAATCTTTCTGCGGACTTGTTCGACGCCCGACCGATATGCGATGGTCTCCCAGGGGCCCAAAAGCGGCGAGCACGCAGGGCTTGAAAACCATGAAACGCCCGGATCTCGTCGTCGTCGTCTTCGTCGTCGTCGTCGTTGAAGTCGTCGTCGTCGTCGTCGTCGTCGTCGCCGTCAGCGTCGTCGTCGTCGTCGTGGTCGTCGGCGCCGTCGTGGAGGTTTCTGGGGCGTCTTCATAGAAGATGTCGCCGTCATGGCGGGATATCTCGTTTTTGGGAACGAGGCGCTGAGAGTACACTGGGAAGCGAGTAGATTTGGGAAAGGGGTCGACTGGAGAAGCGAATCGTTTGGGGAAGCACGCGAGTCGTTTTGGAAAGCGTGTGCTGTTTGGAGGCGCTGCACGGCCGATTCCTCCGCCGCACCAGAGCGGCGCTACAAACCCGACGCCTGCGCCGAACTGCTACTCTGCATGTGCGTCTCTGCCTCGTCGAGCTGACGGAGGAGGGTCGGCGTTGTGTCAATCATACTGAGCTGCAGCTTGTCTGCGCGCTCGTTTGGGATAACAGTTCGCTCTGTGCCCCCAGCATCCCGAAGCTTCGTTCGCAGCTTCAAATGGCGTTGCGCGTTGAAGTTGCACCGAGCATTCAAGGTTCACTGGACTGAGGTTAAATCACATTATTACCACGCTAGAACATAGCAGCCTCCCACCATGAGTACCCAACCCACGAGCGTCAGATGCATCTACACCCTTCACCGAGAAGGCTACGGACCCCCGCAAATACAACTCTGTGACTTCACACATTGCGCCGCTCCGTGAAAATGAAGAGATGAAAGAGGAGGGGGCAGGCGAGAGAGAGCGAAACGAATGTGTGTTGGGGAGTGCTGGAAGGAACTACAGCGGTAAATGCAACTGTGCCCGTTGCTTCTATAGGGGAGCATGCGTGCTGGCGCGTGTAAGCAGCACGCGCAACCAACAGACAAACCCCATGTATGTGTGTACATACATACACGCATAGGCTGGCATTCGGCCCATCCCGCCACCCTCCTGGGCTCTGGGTATGAAGCCTATTGGATGGTCGTTGAGATCTCGTGGGAGACCTCCCGGGGGCCGGAGGCAGTTTTGATGACTCTTGGAGGCCGTTTGGGTGCATCTTGCGGCCTCTCTTGGGCCTCTCTTGGACCTCTCTTGGACCTCTCTTGGGCCTCTTTGGGTGCATCTTTGGGCCTCCTGCGTGCCCCCTGGGCTCCGGGTCATCTTCCCGCATGACTTTCGTCGGACCCAAGACAGCCCGAAGAAGGACGAGGGTTCCAGGAGATCCCCAAGACGGTCCAAAAAGGCTTCGAGACGCCTAGAAGTCGCTCGAAGACGCACAAGATGGCCTCCAAATGGCCAAGAGGCCTCCAATAGGCCCCCAAGACGCCTCCCAAGAGTGCCCCAAGAGGCCAAAGTAAGTGATCTCCCGTCGGTGTTCGAAAGTTGTTGCTCTTGCCGCCTTTTCGGCTTCCCGACGCTCCAAGACGGCCCTAGAGGCCCACAGGTCGCCTCTCAGGGCCTCCCCGACGCCGCGAGACAGCCCAAGAGGGCCCCGAGACGGCGCAAGAGGCGCCCAAGACGGCCCCACAGGCCCCAAGCAAGGCCCCAAAGACAACCCCAAGAGGCAGCCCACATGGAGTACCCGAGCGGACATTTCGAGCCCTCGGCCCCGAAGGGCCCCCAGGAGGCCCCAAGAGACCCCCAAGAAGCCCCAATAAACCTCCAAGAGGCCACCAAGAGACCCAAAGAGGCCCCAAAGAAGCCTCCAAGAAGCCCCCAGGAGGCCCGAAAACTGCCCCCCAACAGACCCCCGAGAGCGCTCCGAAGAGACCCCAAGGAGCATCCCAGAGAACTTCGACCCACAACCCAGGCACGAAGGCGGGATGGGCCGAACGCCATTAGATCCGCCGCCCCCTGTTGGCTTGCCACAGGGTTGCCCGGCGTGCTAAAACAACCCTCCCCTGTCTGAGGCTCCTGCCAAGTCTGTCGGCCACCCGAAAGGGACGACAAGGCCGCACAATCGAGCGCAAACGAGCACAACGTCTGCAAAAAACCCTCCAAGACGGCTCAAGATAGCCGCCAAGACGGCCATGATGGCCTCCAAGTTCAGCCAATATGGTCCAAGATGGCCTCCAAGACGGCTCAAGAGTCCAAGATGCCTCCAAGTTCGTCCAAGAAGCCCCCCAGAAATCTCAAGAAAGCCCAACATTGCCTCAAGATGCCCCAAGAGGCCGCCCAAGTGTCCCAAGAGAGTCCCAAGAGGCCCCCTGAGAGAGCCCCAAGAGGCCAAAAGTATTAAGTTTCCTTACATTTGAAAAAACTTTGGGGCTTGCTCCTTTTCGGCCTTCTGACGGCCCGAGACGGCCCAAGATGTTTCACAATCGCCCCAAGATCGCCCATGAAGCCTCCAAGATTGCCCAGGACGGCCCAAGAGGCCCCCAGGACGGCCCCAAGAGGGCCCCAAGACGGCCCAAGAGGCATCCAAAACGCCCAAGATGACCTCCAAGAGGGCCCTGGAGTACCCCAAGAGGGCCCCCAGTCGGCCCAGAGAGGCCCCCAAGACAGCTTCCGACGGCGTCAGACGGGCCAGGAGCCCACCAAGATGGCCCAAGATGGCTTTAAGGTGGCACAAAGGCCCCCAAGAGGCCTCCAAGACTGCCCAAGAGGCCTCCAAGAGGGCCTCCAGGAAGGCCCGAAGAGGCCGAAATCATTGATTGCCATCGGGTTTTTGAAGGGTTTTCCCATTTGCTTCTTTTCGGCCTTCCGACGGCCCAAGAGCCCCCAAAGATCGCCCCAAAATCGCCCAAGAGGCCTCCAAGAATGCCCCAGAACGGCCCAAGAGGCCCCCAAGACCGTCCCAGGAGGGCGACAAGACGGCCCAAGAGGCCTCCAACACGCCCAAGATGGCCTCCAAGAGGGCCCTGGAGTACCCCAAGAGGGCCCCCAATCGGCCCAGAGAGGCCCCCAAGACAGCTTCCGACGGCGTCAGACGGGCCAGGAGCCCACCAAGATGGCCCAAGATGGCTCTAAGGTGGCGCAAAGGCCCCCAAGAGGCCTCCAAGACTGCCCAAGAGGCCTCCAAGAGGGCATCCAGAAGGCCCGAAGAGGCCGAAATCATTGATTGTCATTGGTTTGTTCAAAAATTGTCCATTTGCTTCTTTTCGGCCTTCCGAAGACCCGAGACGGCCCAAGAGCCCAGAAAGATCGCCCAAGAGGCCTCCAAGAAGGCCCCAGAACGGCCCAAGAGGCCCTCAGGACTGCCCCAAGAGGGCCCCCAGACGGCTCAAGAGGCCTCCAAGACGCCAAGACCGCCCTGGAGCACCCCCAGGAATGCCCTGAGACGACCAAAGAAGCCTCCGAGAAGCCAACAAAGGCCTCCAAGAGGCCCAAGGAGGCCCCCAAGATGCCTCCAAGAGGCTCAAAGGAAGCTCCCAGGAGGCCCGATGAGTGCCCCCAGAAGCTCCCAAGATGTGCCCTCCTCCTCCTCCTCCTCCTCCTCCTCCTCCTCCTCCTCTTTGCCTTCTTCTTAATACCATTAATATGATCGGTATCCATTACATATATTAGTAACATTATCATGTTTAGTATTAGTATGATTCATCTTCGTATCATGGTTAATATGAATCGTCGTCGTCTTACCGTTAGTAGTAATAGTCTTATTACTAGTAGTATTATGAATACGATTAGTAGTCTTGGAATTATTATAATAGTTAGTATGAATGGTATTCGTATTACCCGTACTGTTAGCATTAGTGTTCTGAGTAGTGTGCTTCTTTGTATTGTTATGACTAGTAGTATTATCATTCGCATTCGCATTATCCTTAGTCGTATCAGTATTATGGTTAGCAGTACTGTTATTACTATTAGCTTTAGATGTCTTACTACTCGTATTCGCAATAGTCTTGGTATTAGGTATCGCATTACTATTACGATTCCTCCTCCTCCTCATCATCATCATCATCATCATCAGCAGCATCCTGCTCCTCCTCCTACTCTTCCTCCTTATCCTCCTCCTCCTCCTCCTTCCTCCTTCTCCTTCTCCTCCTCCTCCTGACCTTCCCCGCCATCCTCCCCCAAGTGTTCCCGGAAGGGTTTCCACAACGGTTTGGGGAACACATGGTCCGATAGCTTGGCAGAGCTTTTGCCACGTTTCCCCGAGGGCTCTCCAAACCGACTCCGGGAACAACTGGCCCGATAGCTTGGCCAAGCTCTAGCCCAGCTGTCGGCCACATTGGCGCTTCCAAAAGGCAGGGGGCGGCGGTCATTCGCCGTAGGCGTCTTCGATCCGCCGCCCCCTGTGCTTGTCACAGGGGTGCCTAGCGTGATAGATCCTACGGTCTTTGATTCAGGTTCTTTTTCAAAAAGAACTTCCCCTGTGGCTTCGGCCCGTCCCGTCTGCCACCCGGAAAGGACCGCAAGATGTAACTGCCAATGCCTTTCCCGTTCCAAGATGGACCAAGGGGCCCAAAATGGCTTCTAAGACGGCTCAGATGGCCCGAGATGGCCTCCAAGTTCGCCCAAGATGGTCCTCCAAGATGGCCAAAGAGGGTTCAGGATGCCTCCAAGTCCGCCCAAGAAGTCCCAAGACGGCCCAAGAGGCAAGAGGCCCCCAAGATGCCTCTAAGACGGCCCAAGAGGCCCACAAGCGCTCTGGGTTCAGCTGGACCACTCGGACCGCCCTGGTGCTGTCTGGGGGTCTGAAGGCCAGCTGGGTCTTACTTTGACCGCCAGGGCATCCCACCAGACCCCTGGACAAAAGTCGGTACCCAGGGGGGTGCGGGAGTTTGAAAAGTGTTCCCCCAAGCCCAGTGACCTGGCCGCCCGTTATATGTCACATGCATGTGAGCATATATACATAGATATACGCATGCATATAGAACGAATATGCGAATATGTGTGAATACATGCATACATGCATATATGTATATAAATGTATGTATGTAGGGGCGTGCATGTACAAAGATGTGCGCCCCTATCGCTTGCTCTATTTTCCTGTCTCGCCCGCGCGCGTCAAGCGTCGAGGCCAGGTGGACACGGAAACATGAACAGCAAAGCAAGCGAAGGAGAGAGGAAGGAGGGAGAGAGAGAGGCTGAGGGGGCCGGGGAAAGCCAGACCTCAAATTCCGCACTAATCTAAGAGCGCAGCGGAAGCTGAAGCTCAACCTGAAGGCAGAGCAGCATTGGCCGACCCCATCGGACGCGGCGTGGGAGGCTTCTGAACCTCAACCAGGGAGGCGAGGGAAGAGAAGTAAATAAGAGCAGGTGAGAGCGTCTTTCTCCTCCTTTCGTCCCCTCCCTTGTCCTGCCTTCATGCATCCTTCCTCCAAAGGGAAATCGAGTGTAGCGCATAGCGTAGGAGGCGCGTAGCGTATCGCACCAAACGATGAAAACAACAACCAACCAAATCGGCACTGGACCCCCTCCCTGGCGCGCTCTGGCGCCGAGGGCGTCGCCAGGGGGGTCCGACCCAGATCCAATAAATCCGCGCGGGCCTTCAAAAGTACAGGTATCTGCAGTTTCTTATGATCGTTCTCTCCTCTTCGGGAGAGAGAGAGAGAGAGAAAGAGAGAGAGAGAGAGCGAGAAAATAGAGAATGGAAGATGTGATGTTACAACATAAGGGGGAATGAGAGCAGATCAGAGCAAAGCAGAGCTGAGAAGAGAAGAGAAGAGATGCGGCGAGGAGAGGAGGGGAGAGGAGAAGAAAGGAGAGGAGAGGAGAGGAGAGAAGCGAAGAGACAAATAAGAGAAGAAGAGACGAGGGAGGAAATTAGAGGAGAGGAGAGGAGAGAAGAGAAGGGAGTAAGAGAAAAAAGATGGGAAGAGAAGACAAAAGAAGACCATAGAAAAAAAAGAGTATATAAGGGAAAATACGAGAAGAGAAGAGCAGAGCCGGTATGATAAGAGAAGCGAATAAACGTGGAGATATGACAAGATAAGACAAGTTTTAAGGTACCACATTACATGTACCATGATAACCTATATATATACATAGAAAGAGAGAAAGAGAGAGAGAGAGAGAGCGCGGTACATATAGAGAGAGCAACAAAAAAAAACATGCAATTGTGCAACCACTAGGAACGCTGAATGAGGAAAGAAGAAAATTGTCTGGTCACGGCGAGCCTCGGCCACGAATAGGCACTCGGACCCAGATGTAAGGAACAGCCCGAAAACCAGAGCTCGCACTTAGCCCAAACTTGTCCGTACTTCAGCGTTTTACTGTACCCTCCTCGTCCTCCACACCCTCCTCGATCCTCCTTCATGCTCCATCCTCCTCGCTCCTCCTCGAACCTCCTTGAACCTCCTCGGTCCTCCTCGATCCTCGATCCTCGATCCCCTCGATCCTCCTCGCTCCTCCTCCTCCATCCTTGGAGCGTCGATCCTCGCTCGACCCCCCCCGGGGCCTGCGGCGAAAGCTGCCCCCCCCGGGCCGGCGCGGAGGAACGCGGGGGCGCCCCGCGGGGCGGCAGCGGCTGGGCGCGCGGCAGGCGGGCGCCGGCCGCCGCCGCCGCCGGCGTCGTCGTCGCGACATCCAACCTGACCGCATCGCCGATGCAGGGGCGATGCAGCGCGATCCTCCGACCCCATCTACTCTGACCCCATCAGGAGAGACCAAAGTACCACTACCAGCAGCTACGGGGGTGGCCGCTCCCTCCCCTCGAGCTGGTGGCACATCGTTCCAGGCACTCTCTGGAGGCATGCCCGAAACGAGGTGCCTCCAGCTCGAGGGGGAGGAGCGGCCATCCCCCTGGCTGGTGGTAGTGGAACTTCTGTTTTTGGTGAGTCTGAGAGGCCTTGATTTCTGCTGGCAAGGACCAGATGCTGGGCCCCGGCGGCGCTTCCGAGGGGACGCGAGGGGGGCGGTCTTCTGAGAGGGCAGAGGAGGGGCTTCTTATAGAAGGCAGGGGCCTTCTCGGTGGAAAGGCTTCTGAGAAGCCGGGCGGGCTTCTGAGAAGCCCCCCTGCCTTCTCAGAAGCCTTGCCGCCTTCTCAGAAGCCCACCCTACTTGCGCCACCCCCTTCCGGTTAAGTCGGGCGTGCTCCCCTACAGGGAGATGTTTGCCAAAAAAATTTAAAAAAAAAAAAACTCAAAAATACCACACAAATGGGCAAAAAAAGTCAAAAAAACAGGGGCCTCTTTGGAGGGCGACGAAGCGTTTATTTTCACCGACGAAAATGCCTGAAAGTGACGAAATAAACTAACCCGTGGCACACTCTGGATACTCGCTCAAGTGAAAGCACGCTAGCTGCCACGGCACCATAGTTTCAAGCGCGTTTCGAGTACGACGAGGCCGAGACCAGGACGACGACGACGCGGGAGAGGAGGGAGACGAACAGAAGAGGAGGTGGGCAGAGGTGGCGAAGAAACGTTCACCTTTCGGACTGTTTTGGAGAGTTCCGAGCATCGAAGTTTGTGAGATTTGTTTCCCATTATTTGGGCCTCCAGATGCCTTTGGGGGCGGGGTCCGAGCGCATCCCAGGGACACCCAGAGAGCTCCAGGGAGACCTTGGGAGATCGTCGCCGTGGCCGCCGCCGTCGCCGTGGTCGCCGCCCCTGTCCCGTACGTCGTCACCGCCGTCGCCGTCGCCGCCGCCAGACGGGGCGAGCAGTGCGCGGGCGGGGCAGGCGGGGGGAGGGGAGGGGGGGGAGACGGGGGGAGAAGAGGGAGGAGGAGGAGGAGGAGGGGAGAGGAGGAGGAAGAGGAGGAGGGAGAGGGGAGGGGGAAGGGAGGGGGGAGGGATGTGGAGGGGGAGCGAGGGAAGGTGGGGGGGGAGGGGAAGGCGAAGGGGAACAAAACGAAGGGAGGGGGGACGGGGGACAGGAGGGGAGGCGTACGGAGGGAGGAGGGGTGAGGAAGGGATGGGGGGGAGGAAACCCTGATGGGTGAGGGTGGACAAAGGAGGGGAGGGTGTGGGGGGGTGGCGAGGGGAGTGGAAGAGGCGAGGGAAGCCTGACGCATCGCGTACCTTCGCTGCCGCGCCTCCACCAAAGACAAGGGGGAGGGGAGGAAGGGAGGACAAAGGAGGAGCACGGGAGGGCAGGTGGGCGAGAGCCGAAGATAGAAGGAGAGCGGGGCGAGTCGGAAGAGAGATGGCGGAGCCAGCCCGCACCCAGAGGATGAGGGAAGGGGGAGGAGAGATCGAGACAAGGGTCTGGGAGGGGAGAAGAGGGGGGATGGGGGGGGGGCGAGTCCACACCGCCACCGCTGCTGCTGTGCAGGCTGCTGCCGCTGCCGCTGCAGAGATCACCTTCGGGCGCACATGAAGCGCTGCTGGCCGCTGCGCAGGCGCGCTGCTCCCGCTGCAGAACCCGGTGACGGGAGCACAGGGAAAACAGACCGCTGGGAGGCCCCCAGACTGCCCGAAGTCTGCGCGAGGCCCCCGAGAACGAGCGCCGCCCCTCCCCGCGCCTTCCCTGGCCGAGCCGGGGCCGAGCAGGCGAAACGGTGGAGGGCAAAGTCCAACCCAGCCTTCCTCTCCTCCTCGTCGTCCCCCTCCCTCCTCGTACCACGATGACGACGATGACGACGATGACGACGACAATGGCGGCGACGGCGACGGCAGCGACGGCGCCCGCGGTGGCGACGCCGACGCCCAACGTAACGCAGACGGCTCCTGCGAGAAGGCAGGGATGCCAAGCGGGGGCCCGCCCTGCACCCACCCCTGCGCACTCGACCGCGGACCCCTTTGCTGCCCGCTGGCCCGCGGCGGCCTCCTGGCGGCCTCCTGGCGGTCTTCGGTGGTCCTCAGCGGCTCCCAGCGGCCCTCGGCGGCTTCCGGCGGTCTCCAGCGCGAAAGCTGGACAGTTTAACACCCAACCACGCGGCTGAGAGCCCCACAGGGCCTGCCGGAGCGCCCCTGCCGGAGCGCCCACGGAACAGAAGGGAAGCCGGGGGGGGGCCAGGTCTCCAGAGGACTCCAGGGAGGCCTCCAGAGCTGACCGAGGGAGCGAAGCGGAAGGGGAGGGGAATCGGGCGCACGCTAGCATGGAATACGGATCTGCGGATCTGGCGCGTGGGCGCCACATCCATGGATCGAAGATCGCATCCCCCGAGACGTGAGGCCAGTGCCGCACGATCTGGCATCTGGCGACGGAGCGCGCCGACGTCGTGCGGAAACGGCGCACAAGTCGCTCACCCACGCGCCTGCATCCGTGTTTGCGCCTCCTCGGGGGAGGAAGTTGAAGAGGGGAGGACTCCTCTCCCTTCTCTCCCTTCCCCTCCCCGCCCTTCTCTCCCCCCCCCCTCCCCTCTCCTGCCTTTCCTCATTCCCCTCCTAGCCCCCCTCCTCCCCTCTCCCCCATCTCCTCCTCAGAGGGGGGAGAGGGGAGGGGAGAGGCCGAGGAGGTCAGGGAAGGGCGGAGAAGGGGGGCGAGGGCGGAGAGGGGGGACACGCTCCAGGCCGCTGCGGAGCAGACGGAGGTGAGAGTGAGCGCGCAGGAGCGGGGGAAAGGGAAGGGATATGAGATATGAGATACCAAGGGGACGCAGTGTCCCTCCAACCACCCTACGAGCTCTCAGGAGGTCCCTCGTTGGAGCCCTCAACAGAGCTCTCAGGAGGTCCCTCGTTGGAGCCCTCGAAAGGAGCCGCTCCTACTCCTGACTGCAGAATCAGGGAAGCATCCTTGGCCCCCTTTGACAAGCCCGCGTAGCTCGGGAGCTTGCCCTGCTTGATTCGTGTGAGATTCTGACGCCCCCTCTTGGTGGGGCTGTGGCACAGCTCGGCCAGCCCAGCAAGCTTGAGGGTAGCCGTCGAGCCGCACACATTGCAAAAATAAAGCATGTGCTCCTGCCACAGGTACAGCTCATGTGACTGGTGGACCTCTTGGTTCCCAAGGATCACGTACGAATTACTCTTCACAATACTGCTCGGGACGCCCACCCCCCCGCCAACTCTGGGCGCAGGGACGGGGGTGCACGAAGACTCGGCCGCTTCCTCGACCCTGGACCCAGGAACCAGAAGACGGCAAGCAGAGCACAGCCAGCAACCGCCTTGGACGGGGGTCCAAGCGTGCTGGCTGGCCGCCAAGGCTCGGGTGAGCTTTGGCTGAGGAGCGGTCCGAATCTTCGGAGGCCTCTTAGCCTCCCAGGCGTCTACTTCGAGCGTGTCAATCAGGGCCCTCCTTGCACGAATCCGAACCTGCGCGGCAATAGTGTCCCATACATCCGTGTGCGGGGCGACGCCGATGAGGCCCCGAGAGAGGGCCTCTTGGGCCGCGACGCCCGCCAGGGCATCGGCACAGGCGTTCCCAGCAGCACGGAAGACCACACTAGGCGAGACCAACAAGTGGGCCTGCTCGTCCATATGGGACGTGATCCACACAACGGAAATCTCGGCAGCTCTCTGGGGCCCTCTGGAGGCAATGCCCCGCTTCACGCGAGCCCAGAGGTCCCTTTTCAGCCCAAGAGGAGAGGTCTGCCTCCCCGAGAGCCACCCAAGATACAAGGCACGATTGTCAGTGTAAAAGATAAAGGGGCCTTCTGTCGCCTCTACGGCCAGGGCGAAGGCCAAGAGCTCAGCACGCGGGACAGTCTGGCGCGCTGGCAGCCCGCCCAAGACGCCTCCCTCGAGGCGCCAGGCGGCCGCCTCCTCGTCAAAGGATACGGAGCAAAAAGCGGCTCCGCAGCGGCGGCGGCGGCGGGGGTCCGCAGTGTGGGCCCCCCCGCTGCCGTCTCAGGAGGAGAAAGAGGGGGAAGAGGGGGAAGGCAGAAGACGAGGAGTGGAGGGATCAGCAACAGAGGAGGAGGAAAGAAGGACGCGGAGGGGGAGCAGACGGACGGCTGGAAAACAAGTCGAAAGAGAAACCCCTGGGAGGAGTTCCCTGGAGCGCACTGAGGCCCGAGACGGCCAGAAGTACCCCAGAAGCTCCGACCCTCAGGCTCCGGTCCTCGAGGAGGAGAGGAGGCGGAGGGAGGGGGAGGAGGGGGAACGGCACGACAGGGGGGGCCAACCCAGAGGGGGAAACATCGACCTGGGATCGGCGGTGCATCGCCGATTGATCAGGGATTGGCCCTCGATAGCGAAACCGCACGTTCCTGGGCGGGGTGCGCCTATCCAGCCCCTTATCGGCGACGAACGGGCGATGGCATAGCCCACCTGAGGTTCCATCCCCCGGGCAGGGCCCCCTGACAGGGCACCCCCCTCAAAAAAAGCATCACACAGCTTCTGGGTCTGGCTCACCTTTGGCTTTGCGAGACTGTGCCAGGGCCCGAGCAGCCAGCTCAACGACTCCCAGCTCCCGTACCTCGCCACGAGAGCCTAACCCGAAGGCAAACAGCACAGCAGCCAGCTCCGTTCTTACTGGGACCGACTGCTCAATGAATGGGGCCTGCTGCCCTCCCGCTGCCACGCCAAAATCAAAATGGCCGGACCAGCTCGTCTGGGTGGCCCGTGAGTGGGCGGCGACCTGCTCGAAGAGCGCGCCAGCGCTCGTGGGGTACTCACCCCTCGGAAGCCTCTTGCGGGCTGTGCACGCGCCCCCCCCCCTGAACACCGTGCGGGGCCCTTTGCGTGACCCTCTGAGGCCACTCCGACTCTGCTTGACGGCAAAATGCCAGGAGGAGGAGGAGGAGGAGGAGGAGGAGGAGGAGGAGGAGCAGGGGGGCGCAGGAGGGCAGGGGGGCGCAGGAGGGCAGGGGGGAGAAGGAGCGCTCGCCTGGCCCCCCAGCGTCGCTGCCGCCGGCACCGGCGGAGGCGGGGGCACCGGCCCTGGTCCTGCAGGCACTGGGGCCCATTCGCCCCCCCCCCGATTCTCTCCTCCTGGTCGTCCTCCGAGAGACAGGGGGGAGGCGACGGAGGACGGAAGGAGGGGAGAAATTTGGACGCCCGAAATGGGTACGGAAAGAATGGGCACTATGCCCAACAACAAATGTTGTCCCAAGCCAACAGCGGCCGCTGCTGGGCAGGCGGCCTTCTGTCTCGAATGGAGGCACAGGCCGCGGCGGCGTGGACAGCGAATCCTGTTCAAAATGAACAGGAATTGTTGTTGGGCATTGTACCCATTCTTTCAGTACCCATTTCGGGCGTCCAGAGAGGGGGAGGGGGAGGCGGGGGATGGAGTCCGGAGGAGGAGGCTCCTCCTGGAGGAAAGGAGGGCAGAGGGGTAACGGGAGGGGGAGGGGCAGGCGGAGGGCGGTGAGGAGGAGTAGGAGGAGCGAGAGGGAGAGAGAAGAGGAAGAGAGAGAGATAGAGAGAAAAAAAAAAAAAAAAAAAGAGAGATGAAGAGGAGGAGGACGAGGAGGGGGGCGAGATGGACGACGAGGAGGGAGAGGGGGAGGGGGAGGGGAGGGAGGAGGGGAAGGGGAAGGGGGGGGAGGCAGACCAGACGGAGCCCAGGATACAGCAACGACGTATCCCGACCTCACAAATCCCTCCAAACATTCCTTGCCGCTACGTACGGAAAACGCAACAAACCAAGCGAGCGCCAGACAGGCCTGCTACTCAGGTGAGAACCCGGTGATGGAAAGAGGTTATCCTCCGTCGCTCTAGAAAGATTATAGGTACGATGGGAAGGAATCATTGTCATGGCTAACGGGAGCTCCACTGTGAAATTATCCCGGTAAAGCAACCCAACAGCGATGTGTAGAAGCATACCTGGAAGCATTCCCCTTAAGATTTAGGTGAGAATCCAGTTGTAGAATTCTGCTGTTCTCGCGGTCGCAGCCTCAGCCTGCCTCGGCTTGCCTCAGCCTCAGCCTCAGCCTGCCTCGGCCTCAGCCTCAGCCTCAGCCTGCATCAGCCTCAGCCTCAGCCTGCCTCGGCCTCAGCCTCAGCCTCAGCCTGCATCAGCCTCAGCCTCAGCCTGCCTCAGCCTCAGCGTCAGCCTCTCAGCCTCAGCCTCAGCCTGCCTCAGCCGCAGCTTGCCTCAGCCTCAGCCACAGCCTCAGCCTCAGCCTGCCTCAGCTTCAGCCTCAGCCTCAGCCTGCCTCGGCTTGCCTCCTCAGCCTCAGCCCTCGGCCTCAGCCTCAGCCTCAGCCTCAGCCTCAGCCTCAGCCTGCCTCAGCCTCAGCCTGCATCAGCCTCAGCCTCAGCCTGCCTCAGCCGCAGCTTGCCTCAGCCTCAGCCACAGCCTCAGCCTCAGCCTCAGCCTGCCTCAGCTTCAGCCTCAGCCTCAGCCTGCCTCGGCTTGCCTCAGCCTCAGCCTCAGCCTGCCTCGGCCTCAGCCTCAGTCAGCCTCAGCCTGCCTCAGCCTCAGCGTCAGCCTCTCAGCCTCAGCCTGCATCAGCCTCAGCCTCAGCCTCAGCCGCAGTTTGCCTCAGCCTCAGGCACAGCCTCAGCCTCAGCCTGCCTCAGCTTCAGCCTCAGCCTCAGCCTGCGGGGGGTCGCTTCGGCCTCAGCCTCAGCCTGCCTCGGTCTCAGCCTCAGCCTCAGCCTGCCTCAGCCTCAGCCTGCCTCAGCCTCAGCCTGCATCAGCCTCAGCCTCAGCCTGCCTCAGCCGCAGCTTGCCTCAGCCTCAGCCACAGCCTCAGCCTCAGCCTCAGCCTGCCTCAGCCTCAGCCTCAGCCTCAGCCTGCCTCGGCTTGCCTCAGCCTCAGCCTCAGCCTGCCTTGGCCTCAGCCTCAGCCTCAGCCTGCCTCAGCCTCAGCGTCAGCCTCTCAGCCTCAGCCTGCATCAGCCTCAGCCTCAGCCTCAGCCTGTCTCAGGCTCAGTCTCAGCCTGCCTCAGCCTCAGCCTGCCTCAGCCTCAGCCTCACAGATGGCTCCGGGCAATCAAAATGTGGCCCAGGAATTATGTTCTGGGAACACGAAGAACACGAAGTGGCCTACAGTTGGCTCCGTGCATTCAAAATGTGGCCTGGGAATTATGTTCTGGGAACACGAAGAACACGAAGTGGCCTACAGATGGCTCCGGGCATTCAAAATGTGGCCCGGGAATGGTGTTCTGGGAACACGAAGAACACGAAGTGGCCTACAGTTGGCTCCAGGCATTCAAAATGTGGCCCGGGAATGGAGTTCTGGGAGGTCGAAGAGCACGAAGTATGTGACTGTTTGCTTAAAACGAGCCCGGCTCTCGCCTGTCCGGCTCCCGCCCAGACCCCCCTGGGGAGTCATCAGATGCTCTTTTTTGACCCCATTATTAGAAACCTATCAGTCTTCGCTGTTAGGTAAAAACACAAACACAAAACTTTATCAACAGTCCGCGGAACTGCTGTGACTGTTCTGGCTGTGCTGTAACTGGCGTAGTACTGCGAAGGACACCTCCGACGCGAAGAGAACGTTTAAAATATCCACCCGTCACATGTGTGTGTGAAAGTTGCACATTTCAAACTGGCTGGCTGCGACAAAAGCGGACGTCTCAAGCGAGAAGCCCGATTGGGAAAGGATCCATCTCCATCCGTGAAGCACTAGGACTTGCGAAGCGCGAATGTGCGCAGGCAGACGTGCGCAGCGGGAATGCCAGAGCCACAGTTTGAAAGCAGTCCGCCCTTCATCTGGGTGGAACTGTTTAGGCGGCGCTAAGGGAGAGAGCAACATGTTGAAAGCAACCCGCACTCCATCGGTGCAGCTGTTGGGGATTGCCAGCTTAACTTCTTTTTGAGATGAACACGTATTAAGCGAGACCTTGGGCCGAGCCACCCTACTGACACACCTGGTGCAACAAGGAGGTGTTGTTTCGGCAAGGAATGGGGATGGCGGAGGAGAGGTAGAGGGAGGAAGAGACGGAGGGAGGGGGGGAGAGAGAAAGAGAGAGTGAGCTATATATAGATATACATTTATATACTCGCACATACAAAGTTGCGCATCAGCACTGTATATGTACAGAAAGAGAGGCAGGCGATAAAGAGAGAGAGAGAGAGAGTGTGAGAGAGAGAACAGCATAACAGAAAGAGAGAGAGAGAGAGAATAAACAAAAAACAAAAAAAAAATGAACGGGATTCGCCGGCCCAACGAGCCAGAGGCGTGCTAAGATCTCCGGCAACTGCTTTACAATAATTCTACTTCGCGCGCGGGGCGGCCCCTGGGGGTCCCCGGACGAAAAGTACCCCGGGCAGGTCCCGGGTGACTCGGGTCAGAGATGGTTTTCCTCCTGGGCGCCACCCTCGAGGCCGTCCAGAGAGCCCCAAGAAAGGCCAAGAGGCCGCCAAGAGCCCCTCAAGATGATACAAGAGAGCCCCGAGATGCCACAAGATCGCTCCAAGACGCCCAAGATGGCCCGAAGACGGCCCAAGAGGCCTCCAAGAGCACTCTCAAGAGGGCCCCAAGAGGCAAAATTCATTGTTTGTCCCGTACCGTTTTGGAAAGATTTCGGCGTTTTCACCTTTTCGGCTTCCCGACACCCCAAGACGGCCCAAGAGGCCCCCAAGACCGCCCCAAGAGGGCCCAAGAGGCCCCCAAGAGGGTCCCAAGACGGCCCAAGAGGGCTCCAAGACGGCCCAAGAGACCTCCAAGACGGCCCAAGAAGGCCCCAAGAACGCCCCAAGAGAGGTCCCAAGGGGGGAACACGAAACAACACTCCGAGCCCTCGGCCCTAAGAAACCCCCAGGAGTCCCCAAGAGGCCCCTAAGAGGCCCCAACAGGCCCCCAACAAGCCCTCGGGAGGCCCCCAAAGAGGCCCCCAAAGAGGCCCCCAAGCGGCCCCAGGAGGCCCCTAAAATGCCCCACCGAGCACACAAGCAAGTGCCAACGACCCGACGCGTTTCCAGACGGCCCGCGACGCGTTCAAGACCCCCCAACGGCCATCAAGAAGCCTCCCGAGAGAGCCCCCATATGGGCCGGCGGAATGAGCGAAGCGATTCAATAAAGAGAGGTGGAGACACAACAAGGGAGAGAGACAGTGGAAAATCTCCATCCCCATCTGAGACTATTACCCCTCCTGACCCTTTCTCCCTCCTCTCCTCCGACCTTCTGCGTCACTCCTGCATCACTCCGCCTCACCCCTCTAGCTCACTCCCAAAAGATTTCAACATCCCTGCCTCTCCCCCACCATGCTGCCCTCCGTGGCCCAGAAGAAACTCAGAATTCTAAATCCTCTCTCCTGCTTCTTCTCCACAGAACTTCAAAGGAGAAGGAGGAGGAGGAGGAGGAGGAGGAGGAGGAGGAGTAGGACGACGACGACGACGACGACGACGAGGACAAGGACGAGACCGGGGAGGAGGAGAAAGAGCAGGGGATGGAGCAGGAAGAGGAGGGGAGAAAGAGCAGAGGGAGGAGGAGGAGGAGGAGAAGAAGAAGAAGAAGTGGGAGGAAGATGGTGAGAGGGAGGAATGGTAGCAGAAGGAAGAGGGAGGAGGGTCATGGTCGCAGCCACATCTGCCGCCGAAATTCCTGAAAAGTCTGCTTGCTTTTCGTTCCCTTTCTCTTTCGCCGTCGTCGCGCGACAGGCCGAAGGAGGCGAGCCTTGCTCTGTTGCGGATTCTCGCTGGGAGGCTCCAGAGGGCCCCAGACGTCCCAAGAGGCTCCCAAAGCCCCCACAAGACATCTCAGACCTCGATCATGTCGTCGAACTACGTAAACACAAGAGTGGTCCTGAGCAAAGAACCCTTACGCGCGTGGCTTGCCGAGCGCTGCGTGAGATGCGATAGCAGCGGCCTGTTCGCTTGAAACGTTGGCCGCCCCGCGCCCCCAGAAACCCGCGGCACCAAGGGCCACTGCGACGAGGGGTCACTCTTAAGGGCAGCTGGTCCTGTTTGGGACCCCCAAACAGTGAGGTGACCACACCGTGTGGTGAGTCGTTGGTGATCCTTGGTGACCGCACGATTCTGGGGCTCGGGTCGTTATCCGAGGACAGTTCGGGCGACTGCTGCCTTGTAAGGTCCCGAAGCCGTGCGGTGACGGACCGTGCGGTGAGGTCTTTAGGATGGTTCGAGGACACCACATGGTGTCACCGCACGGTTTTGGGACCCGCGAGATAAAGGGGGGGGGCCTGGCCCAGGAGGGGAAACGTCGACAAAGCATATCGGCGGCTCTCGACTGCGAAGTCGGACGCTCTTGGGCGGGACATCAGGCCCCTATCGGCGACGAATGGGCGGTTGGGTGTCGGTGTATCCCCCCTGAGCCCAGCACCCCCGGCCCGTCGTTGCCTGTAACGAAAGCCGCGCACCAAGGCCACTGCGGCGAAAGGTCACTCTTGACTACGCGTAGCCGGTCCTGCCCCCCCCCGTCCCTCCTCCCAGACCTTCGACGCTGTGATTTGTTCGAACGTCGGCCCACCAGAGGTCCCGACACCTTCCCTCGACCAGCTTCTCATTCCCTCCTCCTTCTCCTCCTCCTCCTCCGCCTCCTCCTCCGCCTCCTCTCCCTCCTCCTCCTCCTCCTCCTCCTCCTCCTCCTCCTCTCCTCCTGCTCCTCCTCCTCCTCCTCCTCCTCCTCCTACTCCTCCTCGTCCTCCTCCTCCTCCCCCTCCCCTCCTCTCCTCCTCCTCCTCCTCCTCCCTCCTCCTCCTCCTCCTCCCCCCGGAGGCCGAAAATTGCCCAAGACCCTCCGTCGTGACTTTTTGTCTCCACGGCGCGAGGGGGCCTGGGCTCCCCCTCTGGCGCACCCCCTCGGCGGCGCGCCGGCAAGGGAAGTGAGAGGGCTGGACCTAAACAGTGTCTTTTGTTTTCGTTTTGTTTTCGCTATTCCTCGGTTTGTCTTGAATTCGCCTTTGCTGCAAAACGGCATCGAAACGAAAAGGGCCCACGAAGTCGCCAAAACACCGTTCAGGTCCACCCCTGGGAAGTGAGAGGGGGCAAGCCGTCTCAGAGAGCGGCGGGGCTTCTCAGAAGGCTCCTCCGGCCTTCCGAGAAGCGCCCTCGGGGCCTCGGAGAGGCCTTGTAGGCGGCTTCTGAGGAGGCCGAAGGCGTTTAAAGCCTCCTGAGCCCGCCCCCTCCACCTTCTCCCCTGGTCGCGCCCCTCTGCCACCCCTGGAACGCCCTTGGCGACGCGCAGCTGCTGGAGAGCACCCCGAGGCGAGAAACCTCCAGGGATGGTACGAAAACGCGAGAAAACGCCGAACCTCTGCCGGGAGGGAGCCAAAACCACACCACCACAAACTTTCGGAGGTCCGCACGGATTTCGTGGATCTGCGCTGCGCCCCCCCCCTCCCTGGCGTGAAGTCGGGCGTGTCCCCCCACACGGGGGGATCTTGGGCGCAAGCTAAAGATTACGCAAAACATACCCCACGAAGATTCAAAAATGGTCAAAAAAATCGTCCGCGGGCTATTTTTGTACTCTTCCCCCTGTGGATGGACAGGCCCGACGTAACCCTGGCGAGCGGAGCGCGGCAAGGGGGGCGCCGAGGAGGCGCCGGCGGGGGGGGGGCCCACCGCCGACCCGAGCCCTCCCCGCGCGGACCTCCGAGGACGTGTGTGTGTGTCTGTGTGCACCCGGCCAGGACGGCGAGGCTGCGCGGCGAGGACGCAAAGGGGCCCCGGAACGCCACGTTGGGGGCTAGTGAGCCGAGTAAACTCGGATTCGGCCGAAGATTGGCTACACTCGACCAGGACGGTGAGGATGCGCGGCGAGGACGCCGAGGGCCCCGGAACGCCACGTTGGCGCTGTCCGTGCGGAGCGCAGCAGGTGGCCGAAGGATGCCGAATACCGAAGGGGCACGGATGCCGAGAACGTGTGTCTGTGTGCACTCGGCCAGGACGGTGAGGCTGCGCGGCGAGGACGCAGGGGCCGTGGAACGCCATGTTGACGTCGTCCGTGCGGAGCGCAGCAGGCTGCCGAAGGATGCCGAATACCGAGGGGGCACGGATGCAAAGGGTAGCCTAGGAAAGTTGCCCCGTCCTTACTGTCATGGTTGACCGTAGCGTTCCCCCTTGTTCGGAAACATCTGCCACGACTCGCGGGTCCTCGCTGCCCGAGCCCACCGTGAGCCATGGCCGCCGGGGCCGTCGACGGGCGGCCTTGGGCGACGCCTGGGCGGCGGGCGCACAGGCGAGGCAGAGGCGGGCCGGGGGGCGCAGGAAGGCAGGAAGCTTCGTGATCTCGTAAGGGGGCGAGAGGGAGAGAAGGGGAGGGGGAGGAGGAGGGGGAGGAGGAGGAGGAGGAGGAGGAGGAGGAGGAGGAGGATCGTCGACCTGGGATAGGCGATACATCGCCGATGTATCGGCAACTGGATCTCGATAGCGATATAGCACGTTCCTGGGCGAGGTCGGCCTATCGGGCCCCCATCGGCGATGCCATCTGCACTGAGGAGGTGGAGGGGTGGTGGGAAGGAAATATGAGCGCAGACGCTGCGTTCTGTCGAAAAGGCCTCATTCAACGGCACTGCACAAATGGTAAGCAAAACTTTGAAGCCTGGCACCGAGCACGGCAGGATCCGCAAGGACGGTACCCGGGCAGAGGTGAGGCATTGGAAAGCGATGACAGGATCTCCCTCCGCGGTATTGAGGGGAGGCAGGAGGAGGAGGAGGAGGAGCGATGACGATCAACACCAGTTCTGAAAAGGACCCGCGGCGCAAAGAGAGAGCGCACGCGGCCACCGAGAGCGGCGGAGGCCTGGCCTGAACGATCTAATGCTTCGGTCCGCGGCCCCAAAGGACCCTCCCCAGGGGCAGGTTTGTGCCAAGTCAAGTCCAGTCGAGGGGCCTATGGAGGCACCTCGCTCCGCAAGCGGAGCCGGAGGGCGTGAGACACTACGGCAACAAAACGCGCATGCAAGAGAAACGTAGTGGACAGGGCAGCAATAGATTATACATAGTAGTATACATCAGTCGCTCTTCATGAAATCTAGTAAAGTGCCACGGGTCCATATTTGCAGCCCCGGGTCACGTCGAAGGGCCCCAGAGGCTGCACTCGAAGAAAAACGCCCCAATCGAGAACTCACAAGAGCACGGATCTGGGTCCCCCTGCTCCTCCTCCTCCTCCTCCTCCTCCTCCTCCTCCTCCTCCTCCTCCTCCTCCTCCTCCTCCTCCTCCTCCTCCTCCTCCTCCTCCTCCTCCTCCTCCTGCTCCTCCTACTCCTCCTCGTCTTTCGCCCCTCCTCCTCCTCCTCATCCTCCTCCTCCTCCTCCTCCTTCTCCTCCTGCCTCTCCCACTCCTCCTCGTCTTTCGCCTCCCTCCTCCTCCTCCTCCTCCTCCAGCTCCTCCTCCTCCTCCTCTCTCTCCCCTCCTCCTCCTCCTCCTCCTCCTCCTCCTCCTGCTCCTCCTACTCCTCATCCTCCTCCTCCTCCTCCTGATCCTTCTACTCCTCCTCGTCTTTCGCCTCCCTCCTCCTCCTCCTCCTCCTCCTCCTCCTCCTCCTTCTCCTCCTGCCTCCTGCCTCCCCTCAATACTGCGGAGGGAGATCCCGTAGCTCTGGACGTCTGGGCCTTCGCAGGTCTGCGGAGAGCCACGCGGGGGGGGGGCGTGGTGCCGGGGACCTCCGGCGACCTGCAAGGAAGCCCCGACCTCTGGAGTCGTGACTCTTGCTGACCCCAGCAATTACTCAAGTTCGGCGTTGGGGTCCAGCACCGTCAAAGCACTGCAGTCATCGAGCCACCGTGAGGAACAGAGAATGAGGAACGAGGGGGCTGTTCTGTGCACCGCGAGCCTCGGCCACGGATGGGCTCCACGACCTGGACCCAAGGAACGGCCCGAAAACCAAACCCCTCCCTGAGCCCGAAGTGGTCCCTATTTCAGCGTCTTTACTGTACCAGTCGGTCGAATGAAGTGGGTAGAAACCTGAAGTAGGAAGGAGCTGGAGGTAGATTGGGTCTCCGCCAGCCCCTTGAAGATGAAGGGAGAGGTAAGACCGATCGATCCTTGAAATAAGAAGGCGCCTAAAGTAGATTGGAATATGCGGGGTCCACAATACCTCCGTTCAACAACGGATGGGTACACAGGATGGACCCGCATACACACAAACACACAAACACACACTCACACACACACACAGACACACACACACACACACACACACACACACACACACGCACACGCACACGCACACACACACACACAAAAAAAAAACTCTGATAAAGGTCGAGATTTCTGGGGCCTGGGGGGGCGTATTGGAAAAAAGCACGGCGTCGGAGTTCTGGATACGGCCTCGTACCAGAATATACTGGGCACTGGCACACTCGCTCGCAGCCAGTGAAGAAAACCTCGCCCACGCGCCACCTGAATGCCACAGAGGCCCACGCAACTCTGAAAGAAGAGAGGAGGCACCCCCGATGGCCCAGTGGGCGACGAGTTCGGGGAGGAGCAAGAATGGAACCAGCCAGGCACGCAGAGGGAGCAAGGGGAGACCAGCGGGTGCACTGACAAGCGGAAGGGATGGAACAAGAGAAAAGCAGCACGATGACCAAAACGAGGGACGACAAGGAAGGAGACCAAGACGAGGACCCAGACCTCCGCCATTGTGACTTGCTCACAAAATGCACGTGGGCCCCCGAAGTCCAGACCCTTTCCCACGGACCGGCCTCACGTCCCGGGGCGTTCTCTGACGGCCCCTGGGCGCGGGGAGGGCCCCAGGAGGCCGAAAATGGCCGACGGCCTTCCGCCGTGATTCTTGTCGCAAAGCGAAAAGGTTTGGAGAGGAGGAGGAGGAGGAGGAGGAGGAGGACGCCGACGATGACGACGAACACCACCACGACCAGCAGCGGAATGGAAGGAAGGATGGAGCGAGGCGCCCATGGAGGGGCAACGTTAAGGGGGGACCAGCTCGGGAGGAGAAACAGCGGGCCAGAATCGGCGATACATCGCCGATTGCTCGGCGATGGGCCCCCTCATAGCGAATCCGAGCGTTCATGGTCGGGGCGGGACTATCAGGTCCCCATCGGCGATGAATGGGCGATTGGGGGTCGATGCATCCCTCCCTGAGCCTGTCCCGTTCTGGTGATCCTCGTCGTTAGGTTTTCGGGTCATGGCTCGGGCCTCCGGCGGCCATTCAGAGCGACTCGGGCACCCCCAGGAGGCTCTCGGCGAGGCGCAGCTGCTGGAGAGCATCCAGAGGCTGGAAAGCCGCCGAGGTACAACGAAACTGCCCGAACACCTCCAACTTCTGATGGGCGCGTTTTCCACCACCACCGCCATAAGCTGGAGGGGGGAAGGAGGAGGACGAGGAGGAGGACGACGAAGAAGAGAAGGAGGAGGAGAAAGAGGACCCCCTCCCCCTCCAACCTATGGTGGTGGTGGTGGAAACCGAGCCCGTCAACTTCGCCCTCGAAGGTCGCCCTCAAGCTGACCCCTGGAGGGCGGCAGCGGCGCCGTGCGCTGGCGCTCCGCGGGCGCCGGCGCCGCCGAGGCGGGCGGCGCCGTCGTGCGAGATACCTCCCCTTCCCCGAGGGGGCCGTATCGTCGCGGGCGCTCGCGACTCGGCAGCGCGCCTGGGGGGAAAGGCCCCGCATCTGAGGAAAGCCCCGGAGATCTGGGAGTTGCACTTTTTCACCATGGGCGATGCTGCCTCGTGTCGAGCCCCGGAAGCCTCACAGATCGATCGGGCTCGAAAAATGATGCAGAAAAATGGCGTCTAGTGCTCCGATCGATTTCGCGATGCGACACTGTTCTCGCAGCGTCAGATCTCAGGGGATGTTCGGCGTCCTCTTAGTGTTCTCGTGCATTCTTGGACGGATCCTCCTCGCCTCGGGATGCTCTCCAGCAGCTGCGCCTCGTCAGGGGCGTCCTGGGGGTGCCCGAATCGTCGGCCGCGGAGAGCCCGAGTTATGGACCGAAAATCATGACTCGGCGGCGCGCACAGGGGTGTAAGGCAGACTGGGCGGGCCCCCTCTCAGAAGGCTCCGAAGAGCCTCTGGCCTTCTGAAAAAGTGGTCCGAACCTCCTCCGAGGCCACAGGAGTCTCCTGGGAAGGCCGGAGGGTTTCTGAGAAGCCCCACCGCCCCCTGAGAAGGTCTGCCCTTCCTCGCTTCCCCATCGGCGCACCGCCGAACCATCGTCTCGGGCGATCGTAGCTTGGCCTCAAGAGCCCAGATCTCCGACGTTGCTACTTGTCAATCCGAGCGTTTCGCCTCCCTTTCAGCCCTGGGGCTCGTTATCAGACGCAGGAACATCTCAAGCAGCGAGTCCTGAATAGATTGTCGGGAAGTCCCACGCAATCGCGATTCCTGAGTACAATGCGAAGGAGTTTCGGGTGGGAGCGGGGGTCCTGGCTAAATTGTCAGGAATTCTAAATAAAAGAGCCGTTATTGTTGTTGTTGTTGTAATCCGGAAGCAACAACACAATCCCCCCAGAAGAAGCACTTCGATTGAAAAACACAATGGCCACCGGAGGGGGGATCAACAATACCCTTCCGCAGTGAGAGTTCAACAACAACAACAACAACAACAACAACAACAACAACAACAACAACAACAACATCAACAGCAGCAGCAGCAGCAGCTGCAACAGCAACAAAAACAAAAACAAAAACAACACCACCTACAACAACAACAGCAACAACAAAAATGACAACAACATCAACGAGAACGACAACAACAACAACAACAACAACAACAACAACAACAACAACAACAACAACAACAACAACAACAACAACAATCATTTTAAGACGGTTCGCTCTTACTGGCACGCGTGTTTTGCATTCCGTATACCCCAACCCTCGATGCCCACCCACTTCGTCTTCGATTGCACCCCCTTTCGGGGGGAATCTCTTCCTTGTCGGCCACTGACTGAAGTGCGAAGAAGTCTCGAACGAGAATGCCGTTCCTGAGTTCGGGGGCCTCTCTGGTCAAGGGCTCTCGGAATACCTACGGAGAAATATCGAACGGGAGCCATTGTCGCCGTATTCGGGCCTCCACCAACTTGCCTGAATTACGGGAAAGTTTCGAGCGAGAGCGCAATTCCTGAGTTCGAGGGCCTTCTTGGTCAGGGGCTCTCGGAGTAAATCGTGAGGAGGTATCGAGCAGGAGCCCTTGTCGTCGTGGCTGGGCCTCCGCCA